AGAGAAAACTCTCCTCTCGTTATGATGAATGAGTTGAAAATGACTCCAAGATTCCTCACTGTGTTTTCAGTACATACACATACACATGTCTGTCAAGGCCAGATTGTGGAGGGGACCAGAGAAAACTCCAGAGTCGTACATTTTTTATTATTATTTATTTATTTTTTTGTTTGTTTTTTAGCAAAGTCACATACTAATTCAATATGAATTTTGTTTACCTTTAGCGAGCAGTTTCAAATTTATTTCAGTGTCGCCTGCCTTGCTTGGCCCCTGGAATAAAAACATTTTTGGTCCTTGATGTCTTTAAATCGACATTTCTAAGAATAGAGTCTCGAGTAAGTATTTTTTTTTCCCCTTGATTTTTGTGTTGCAGAATAGAGAAAATTATTTTTGTTGGTGGTGCACCGAGACTTCTATTTCGGGCTACAATACCTTTTTACAGTCACCCTTTGAGCCAGATTTCCCAGCTGCTTGGTCTCAGTGATAACATGCTACTCTTTTTGCTCCAATCTTACGGTTTGTTTCATTACACTTATGGTGCCACCTGATTTAAGTCAGATTTCCATTCATCTCAGTTAATGTAGCTTAATTTAACAAAAAGTCATCTCTAAGGAACTTGTCATGATTTCTTGGTCTTTTATTTCCTCCTTAGTTTGAGACAATGGGAGAAATTAATGCATGCATGCCTTTTCTTTTTAAATATCTTGAAGTGTCCCTTATTTTTAAATTTCAAAACTTACCATTTTCCCACAAGGTGCATACAAGGTGGAAAAACACAATAAAACAATTCAAAGGAGAGACATGGGACCCTTCATTTTGGGGTCTCAAAAGTAATTGGACAAATTAAATAACTGAAAATTAAATGTTCATTTATAACACTTGGTTGAAAACTCTTTGCTGACAATGACAGCCTGAAGTCTTGAATTCATGGACATGACCAAATGCTAGGTTTTCCATTCTTTAAACATGGGAAGAAACCTGGAGTACTGGTATTTATAAAGCACTTATTGTTTTATTGATTTATACTACATCAGGACCAATTTGGGGTTCAGCATGCTTTCCAAGTATGTTTTGGCATACAGACAGCACAAGCCACATTCTATGTGTTCTAGGAGATCTCAAACTGTTGGCTTTTTTTTGGCTTCAGAAATATTGCATGGCATGGTTATTGGAATGCCTACTACCTGGCATGTAGTAGCATTGAAACTACAAGAAGAAGAAGCAGTGTCCAGCATCGTAGCTGTGTCCAAATTCAGGAACCGCATCCTCCTGTGCCCGCATTTGTAGGCCGATTACGTTACAGCGACACGACGAAGACTGTCCAAATTCGAAGACTCCGACAAATGCGGCCGACAAATGCCCCTTCATTTCCCCAGATTTGAAGGATGGGTCGGGTGTATACTTCGTGGCCCAACCTATCCCAGAATTCATAGCGTGGCCCTGCTCAGTTTCCAACAATGGCGGCAGCTAGTTAGTTTTAATATTACTCTTATTATTCTTTCTGGGTCACAAAATAAACATTTAACGTATTTTCAGGCGAGAATGTAGCTGTGTAAATTTTCAAAAGCGCTCCGACGTTTTCAGAGACGTCTGTTACCCACCAGCTCGATAGTTAGCCAGGGTTCAAGGCTCACTAGAGCCGATGAGAACACCGGACTCCCGGCAAATCGTTTTCAAACCCACTGCCGTCTTTCGCTACTCAGGTTAAACATTACAGTGGCTTGCAAAAGTATTCGGCCCCCTTGAACTTTTCCACATTTTGTCACATTACAGCCACAAACATGAATCAATTTTATTGGAATTCCACGTGAAAGACCAACACAAAGTGGTGCACACGTGAGAAGTGGAACGAAAATCATACATGATTCCAAACATTTTTTACAAATAAATAACTGCAAAGTGGGGTGTGCGTAATTATTCAGCCCCCTTTGGTCTGAGTGCAGTCAGTTGCACATAGACATTGCCTGATGAGTGCTAATGACTAAATAGAGTGCACCTGTGTGTAATCTAATGTCAGTACAAGTACAGCTGCTCTGTGACGGCCTCAGAGGTTGTCTAAGAGAATATTGGGAGCAACAACACCATGAAGTCCAAACCTACACAAGACAAGGCCGTCCACCTAAACTCACAGGCCGAACAAGGAGAGCGCTGATCAGAAATGCAGCCAAGAGGCCCATGGTGACTCTGGACGAGCTGCAGAGATCTACAGCTCAGGTGGGGGAATCTGTCCATAGGACAACTATTAGTCGTGCACTGCACAAAGTTGGCCTTTATGGAAGAGTGGCAAGAAGAAAGCCATTGTTAACAGAAAACCATAAGAAGTCCCGTTTGCAGTTTGCCACAAGCCATGTGGGGGACACAGCAAACATGTGGAAGAAGGTGCTCTGGTCAGATGAGACCAAAATGGAACTTTTTGGCCAAAATGCAAAACGCTATGTGTGGCGGAAAACTAACACTGCACATCACTCTGAACACACCATCCCCACTGTCAAATATGGTGGTGGCAGCATCATGCTCTGGGGGTGCTTCTCTTCAGCAGGGACAGGGAAGCTGGTCAGAGTTGATGGGAAGATGGATGGAGCCAAATACAGGGCAACCTTGGAAGAAAACCTCTTGGAGTCTGCAAAAGACTTGAGACTGGGGCGGAGGTTCACCTTCCAGCAGGACAACGACCCTAAACATAAAGCCAGGGCAACAATGGAATGGTTTAAAACAAAACATATCCATGTGTTAGAATAGCCCAGTCAAAGTCCAGATCTAAATCCAATCGAGAATCTGTGGCAAGATCTGAAAGCTGCTGTTCACAAACGCTGTCCATCTAATCTGACTGAGCTGAAGCTGTTTTGCAAAGAAGAATGGGCAAAGATTTCAGTCTGTAGATGTGCAAAGCTGGTAGAGACAAACCCTAAAAGACTGCCAGCTGTAATTGCAGCAAAAGGTGGTTCTACAAAGTATTGACTCAGGGGGCTGAATAATTACGCACACCCCACTTTGCAGTTATTTATTTGTAAAAAAAAAAATGTTTGGAATCATGTATGATTTTCGTTCCACTTCTCACGTGTACACCACTTTGTATTGGTCTTTCTGTCATGAATCGCTGTGTGGCAGGCAGGAGTTGGACCCAAGATGCAGGAACTCAGACTCGAGGGATGAACTCAAAAAACTCAGCTTTATTTGCTGACAGGGGAAAAGCATACAAAACTAAACTGGGAAAATATAAACTCACACTTTGCAGAGAGGCACACGAGGAAACACACAGCTTGAGGGACAACGTGACACTGACTCAGAGAAACACAGGGTTTAAATACACTGGGAAGTAACGAGGGGAATGAGACACAGAAGGAGAGCACAGCTGGGAGAAATCAGAACTGACGAGACAAGGGAGCAAAGTAGGATACACTCACATGAGACACAGACCTTCAAAGTAAAACAGGAATTAGCACAGACGCAAACTAGACTAGGGGAGACAGAGCAACTAAGAAATACAGACAACACCAACCACTAAGGCTACGTTCACACTGCAGGTCTTAATGCTCAATTCCGATTTTTTTGATCAAATCCGATTTTTTTGTCTGGTCGTTCACACTACAAATAAAATGCGACAGCAAACTCTCTAGTGTGAACGCTCAAAGCAGCCCGCATGCGCAAAAGAAGACGTCACACACAACGCGCTCTGTTTAGACACAGAGCAAACAGTATTGTTTGACTGATGGCCCTTAATATAAAGACTTCGGACTTTACGTTTCCCAATTTTTGCTTTAAGTTATTTTGTTATTTACATAATAATGTAAATAACCTAATAATTATCCTTATTGCTCTTTTAGAGAGGAGCGGTGCTTCAAAGGATAGTTGCAGATTTCTGTCAGAATCTGCAGATTATACAGTACAAATAAAATGTTCACGTTTCTCCAACGTTGTCCCAACAGTTTCACTGACAACTACACTGGGTGGCCAGGAAGCGTTCATGATGTTTTCTCCGGCGCTGATAATTGGCGTCTGTCTTGTGTCAGTGACGTAAAAGACGGATTTAATGCGACATGACCGTTCAAACAGCAGTCGCTTTCTAAAACATCGGATATGTATCGGATTCAGTACCACATACGAAAGTGACCCAGATCGGATTTGAAAATATCGGATTTGTGCCGTTCACACTGTCACACCATGATCGGATATGGGTCACGTAGGGTAAAAAAAATTGGATTTGATGCGCTTTCGCCTGCAGTGTGAACGTAGCCAAAGAGACACAGTGGGCAGCTACTAAATACTCAGAGAACTAAACAGAATACAAGAAAACCAAACTAAGACACTACACTAAAGAATAAGCTGGGACAACAAAGAGAACTAAGAACATAATACAAAAAACTCAGAGGCACAAGAAACTCAAAACACTGGGTCACTGACCCAGGACCGTGACACTTTCACGCGGAATTCCAATAAAATTGATTCATGTTTGTGGCTGTAATGTGACAAAATGTGGAAAAGTTCAAGGGGGCCGAATACATATATAAGTATATATAAGTCACTTAGAAATGTTATTGTTTGACTTTTTCAGTATTTTATTTGTTCCTGAGTAAATCGGTTTGTCTGAGATTAAAGTTATAGTTTGTACACAGATGAATAAACGTCAAGCAGACAACTGATTATCAGAATTGTGAGAGGCTCGAGAATATACTCCAGTGTCTTGTTATATTTTAGATAGCAAGGTGCAGACAGCTGAGTTTATTGAATTCCACCGAAACAATCTGCAAATTTCATTAAAATGTAATAAACTATCATCTTGTCTTTATTTTTAGTTAGCACATAGCTTAAACACTTAAAGCTGTAAGCTAATGATAGTTATATAAGAGCAGACGCTGCTGGTGCAATAAGCTGTATGTTTTACGTCCAATGGATGATGATCTGATTAGTCGACTAATCGCAAAAATAATTGGTGACTAGTCGACTATCAAAATAATTGATTGTGGCAGCCCTAGTTCAAACCCCCCAGTATGCTGGCCGACATGATTGACGATGGGCAAGCTGTGAGTACTCAGACTAAGTTTACTGAACGCCACATGGGAAGATCTTGGAGAAGCTCACCGCTTTGCAACGGGAAATAGATAGACCTGGTAACCAGTGATGGACATAATGAACAACTGCGAAATTGGTGCAGTTGTTCACATTAACCCAAACAATCATCTCTCTCACTCATGTGGCTCTGGAACAACAAATTCTTGTCCCTGATAACAGGACTATGTTTTGTCTCTCTGACCCTATCCTTCAAGGACAGCTTTGTTGGCTGAAGGATTGTTGACTTTTGCTTAACCAGGTGAAAGGACACTCTCTCTCTCAAGCTGAACACAGGATACACATACACACACACACACACACACACACATACACACACACACGCGCGCATGTACACTGACACAGATGCACACTTGCTCCCCTCCCCCATTCCAAATGCCTCCAAAGCTTGCCCCCATCCGATACAGACGGCAGGTTAGCTGGACCCGAGCAGAGATGCCGTGACCTGATGCTGCTGTCTGCATTGGTTTACTCTAACCCTACTCACCCTGTTGCTTGTCATGTGTTTTCATGATGTTATGGTGTGAAGATTCATGTGCTTTTGTGCTGAGGAGTTTTTGTTTTCTGTTCTCATACTGATCTCCTATCAGGAGCTCAGTCTGAGTAGAGTTGTCTTTTTTCTCCTCCGCTACCCTTTTGTGTTGTACATTTAATTTTTTTTCTTTACCCTACCTGTTCTGACCTGTCTCCCCAATGTGATGTTTGTGTAATGTATGTATGGTTGGAAGAGGTCCAATTTCGCTGCAGGCAAGTGCAAGTGACAAATAAAGGCTTCGTCATCGTCGTCTTCGTCATCATCATCCTGACCCTACCAAACAAATGTCACAGCACAAATTGAGACTCGTCAGACCAATCAATAATTTTCTTCTATTGGCCAGTTGTAGTAAGCCTATATTGTGCACGCACAGATGCTTTTTTGCATACATTTATTGGAACAAGTGGTTATTTTATTTACTGTTGCTTTCCTATGAGCTTGATGCAGTCTAGTCATTCTTGTCTGTCTTCTAGCATTAACAAAGCATTTTCTCAGACAGAACTGCTATTCACTTAGCATTTTCTATCCGGTAACCACTCTGTCTAAACCCTAGAGATGGCTGTGTTGGATGGAAAATCCCAGTAAATCCTGAAGCTTGGTTTTAACTTGGACAGGTTGGCTTGACCATTATCTGTAGTTAGCTGTGCACACATACAGCTCTCCAAAAAATCTAAAAATTTACTTTCACATCTGTTTTCACATCTTAAGCTGCTCTTATATTATATCACAAAAATACTGACATATTTGTGAAAATACCGCTATTGATTTGACATAAACAAACAATAATGGTCATAGATTAACATCTGAATTTCACAGTAAAGGTTCAGGCATTGCAGAAAGTGACCAGATGTTTTGCAGAAACCTAAATAGCCTATTGATGCCCAGTTTCTTCCACAGAGCAGGCTGTTACATTCAATCTTTGACTTTTATACATGCCTGCAGTGTCACACGGCAGCAAAAGTAATAAGCACTCAATATAATTTCAGAAGGATGTGGGCATTTACACCTATGGAACAGCAGCAGTTACTATTTAAACAATAGTTCAGTTTCGATTTGATGCATTGATGATTTTAATTTTATCATACTATTGATTTAATCCAGCCATGTAGATGTAACTTTCTGGTTCATTTTTATGTTGCAGGCATCTCAGATGAGAACATGAGTGGAAAAAAAGAGAAGGTGGGAGAGGCCAAATATTTGTCACAAGAGCTTAAAGAATATTTAAGAATAGTCTCATTCTTTGACATTGTAATTTCTGAACGTATGCTGTGTTTTTATTTGCTTATTTATTACAGCCAGCGAAGGAAGAAGACAACCAGAACAAGTCATGTCAAATAGAAACTGAGACATTGCTTGAAAGACTTCATCTTCAAGGCAAAATTCAACAAAAGTTGTCACCAGCAGATTTTCTTCAAATAGGTCCACCTGTGAAACAGCACCATGTAGAATCTGAGAAAGATCTAGCTCACACTTTTCTCCATAGGCTGATAATGTTGGACTACAGGGCCAGATATATTTCTGTAAGATCAAGCTGTCAGATCAAGGAGTCGTTCAAAGCCTCCTCCAGTGACTGGGATGTTTTTGTGAGCAGCAGTTTCGACGGACTTATGTCCGTCGAAACTGACAAGGTTTCTGACAAGGTTTCTGTGCATCCAATGGACGTTCAGATGGCAGTATTTCACTGCTCAGACAGCTTCCTAAAACAGATGATGATTACAAAGCTCTCTCAGTGTCAGTATGCCTTACCTTTGCTTGTTCCTGACCCAGTTACAATGGAGATTCAGTGTCCTCTGTGGACTTTCAGAGAAATAACAAAAACCTGGAGGGAAAATGAAATCAAAGATGACTCAACGATCATCACCATGAAGAGTGTTCCAGTCTACAAAGCTGAAACAACCTTGGTTTCATTTTTCCGTCTGGGTTCTTTGTCAGTGTCTAAATCTCAGCTGATGAACACTTTGATCAACAACCATCACGACACCTTCTTCCACAGAAACTGCCCAGGAAGCACCAAGTCTCGCTATTTGATGGATGGTGTGGCAGAGATTGCCTGGTACTGCCCTGCTGGAAAACACAGTGATGCCTTCAGTAACTGCATTGCCTTTTGTAATCTCCATGGTGATGCTCTGTTGACTGAAAAACAGCGTGACATACTGATTGAAAAATCCTCCATCAATATTTTTCTTGTGGCATCTCTTCAACGCAATGAAGAAAGATCCCTTTTATCATCTCTTTTTAAATCTCATAAGCCTCTCATTTGTCTCACAGTTAATGAGAATCGTGATCCTGTTAAGACAAAAAAGGGAAAGTATATAATGGGCCTCAAAGACAAAAGTCACTCAGATGTATCTGAACAGCTGAAAATGATCATTAGAGAGGTTTTGTCTTCTCTTGATGGTCCCATCTTGAAACCATCCTTCCAGCTTGAAACCATGGCTGAGCTCTCTGGAATCAGAGTGGATGAAGCTGACCCAGCCTGTCAAAGAGGGAAATCTGCTGCTATGAAAATAAACTATCTGCTAAAAAAGGATAACATGGATGTCTCAAAGATCAAAGATAAATTTCTCCCTTGCCAAGGCCAACTGTGGCATCAGTGGAGCAAAATACACAGAGAACTGTTTAAACTCAGCGGAAACATTGAAAAGGAGAAAAGTGACAAGGAAGAAGAACTGATGAACATACGTCAGAAACAATGTGCTGCTTCCTGCAGTAAACTGATGGAGTTGTTCATTGAAGGTCTGTCATCATTGCCAGGAACAGACAGAGAGTATTTCCTAAAATGGACTCAGATCTTCATAGATGCCCTCTCCACAGATGATCTTTCTTCAATTCTGAAAAGTTATGATGAAAAGTGGTCTGAGGTCTTGGCTTTGAAGAACAAATGGTACAGATCAGATCTGTTATTAAAAACACAAACTGAACTTGAAAACATATCAAAGAAACATCAGTCTTTAACTTTTGGTTTGGAGCACATCTTCAGAGAAATGGGACAGATCTATGAAGCCCATAAAACAACACAAAGAGAGAGCAGACACTCTGACTGGTCTAAATACCCTGAGCTGGCTGCACAGCTGATGATATCAGGACACCCGATGGAGCTGATGGATGGTGATGCAGGTCATGTGCCTTTAACATGGATCTCCAGTCTTTTAGAAGAAGTCATCAGGAAACTGGGGGACCAGAGAGTTTTTGTGTTGTCAGTTTTGGGCCTACAAAGCAGTGGAAAATCAACAATGCTGAACACCATGTTTGGGCTGCAGTTTGCAGTGAGTGCTGGCAGGTGCACCAAAGGTGCCTTCATGCAGCTGCTCAAAGTATCAGAGGAGATGAAGAAAGACTTGAAGTTTGACTATGTTCTAGTGGTGGACACTGAAGGACTGTGTGCCCTTGAGTTAGAAGGTAACAATCTTCATCATGACAATGAACTGGCAACATTTGTTGTTGGTCTGGGAAACCTGACACTGATCAACATCTTTGGAGAGAATCTGTCTGAGATGCAGGACATTCTGCAGATTGTTGTTCAGGCTTTCATGAGGATGAAGGGAGTTAAACTTTCTCCCAGTTGTGTGTTTGTTCACCAGAATGTCACAGATGTTGCAGCAGCAGAGAAAAACATGGATAGAAAGAGACGCTTGCAGGAAAAACTGGACCAGATGGCCAAACTAGCAGCTGAAGAGGAAGTTTGTGATGCAGAGTGCTTCAGTGATGTCATTGAATTTGATGTTCAAACAGATGTGAAATACTGTGCCCAGCTGTGGGAGGGCAGTCCACCCATGGCTCCTCCAAATCCAGGTTACAGTGAGAGCATCCAGGAAGTGAAGAACACCATCCTCTCTAAAGCTTCAAAGTCTGCTGGGATCACTCTCTCACAGTTTAAAACAAACATTAAAGACCTGTGGACTGCACTTCTGACTAAAAGTTTTGTTTTCAGTTTTAAAAACACACTTGAAATTGCAGTGTACGAAAATTTGATGGCCCAGTATGGGAACTGGACCTGGACCCTGAGAAGCAACATGTTGACCATTGAAAACCAACTCCATAACAGAATTGAAAATGGAAAACTTGATGAGGTTGATGAGTTTTATCTTTTTAAAGAAACAAGCAAAATATATGAAGAAGTCAAAAAAGAAATGAAAATGTACTTGAAGCACAAAGAGAAAGTGATCTTTTCTCAGTGGCAAGAACATGAAAATAAAATCAATGAGCTTTATAAAGAAGAGGTGAACAGAGTGAAAGTAAAACTGGATGGAGTTATCCACCACAGAAAAGCTCATAAAATGACTCATGATAGGAAATCAGAGTTTGAGAACAAGTTGCTACAAAAGATCAAAGAGCTCTCTCATAAACTGAAGGATAAGGCCAAAGATGAAGAAGAGCTTCAACGACAGTTCAACTCTGTTTGGAGCAGCTGGGTTACTGAATTAACAGCAGATATAAAACCTGTTGAAGACATCAACTTGGAAATAGATCAGTTAACGATCCTTCAAGAACTTGGTTTTGAGCCAACTCTCATAGATGAATGTAAAAGAAGTGGCAGATACAAGAAAATATCACACTTTGGTGATTATTCAGATTATATAATGATACGTGGACAGATGTCAATGAGTAGAATGGCCTACCACAAACATGTTTCATTTGGCCTTTTCTCCTATGAAGAACAAGAGATCAGATCGTTTATTGACCAAGCTCATAAAAATTCACTTGATGCAATTAAAAGCAACCCTGTTGTTACAAGAGGTTATTCCTCAGCTTATTTGCGTGAAGTGGCCAATCATGTAACAATAGATTTGTGGGAATTTCTGTCAGAGAAGAATTACACTTTAAACAAGGAGTTTACAGTTGATCTCTTAATGTATGTGTTCTACAGGGCGGAGAGTTGGCTTCTACAGTCACACAAGAAATTTAAAATGAGCAATGATCCAATCACTTATTTAGAAAGCAAGAAAACACACTATTACACAGTTTTTAGAAGCTTTTGTGAAGGAAACTCATCTGCTGTTGTGCTTGGAGAGCTGATCTGTGAAAAGTTGAAAGTTTCCACTCTTGAGGCTGTCTGTAACAAGACTGCCATTGATCTCGCTGGAAGGATGAGGTGTAATTTCCCAGCATTCAATGGGAACAGACTGAATTTGGACAAATATTTGTTGAGGTCACTCGCTAAGAAAGAAAACTTTGATGATTTCATCACATACATCAATAATCCAAGGAGACAAACAGAAGCTTTCATTAAAGCAGAAGTGCAGCAATACATCTACATGAGTCACAAAGATGAAGCTGTGAATATACTCAAGAAAAATGTTGATGACATCGAAACAACTGTGAGTCAGGCTTTATTTACTGCAACACAAAAGGTCCAAAATCAGAGAGGAGACACAGATATGTGGCTGAATGAATTTTGTAATGTCCTAAAGGATGAGCTGACATTTGACATTTGTTCTGAAAACTTCAGTGACATAAACAATTTTCACTTTCTCAAGGAAGAGATAGAAAAAGGATTTACATCCATCATTAAGCAGATGAGCAGACTCTCCCTGGATAAGCTGAATGAATCCAGGCAGAGGCCTGAAGAAATCCTCATAGATCAGCTTTGTAACTGCTGCTGGGTAAAGTGTCCATTCTGTGCAGCTGTTTGTATCAACACCATGAAAGATCACAGTCCTGATGACCACAGCACTCCTTTTCATCGACCTGATGGGATAATAGGATCTCACTATGTACAAACTAAAGTCCTCAGCATCAGTTTCTGAACAACAATTGTTACAAGTGAAGAAGGTCTTCACCCTAGCTCAGAGAAATACATTCCCTACAAACAGTACAAAACTGCTGGTCCACCGTATGATACCTGGAGAATCACTCCTGATGGGACTAAACTGGCATATTGGAAATGGTTTGTTTGTCAATTTCAAACGAAACTGGAAAATCACTATGGGTTCATGTTCCAGGGCAGTGTATTATATTCCATATATCTGGAATGTATATATTCCAGATATATGGAAAGATATATCTAAAGAAGAAGCCATTAAAAGTCTGGATGAAATGTTCTAATGAGCCAAAGAAACTGCAAATCGGCTGAAAATTATGTTATTGTTTTCATCTAATAACTGTGACAGTCTGATTTTGTCTGAGTGACAAAAAGGAAATTCTATAAATTATTAACATGAAGATGATGTTATGAGTGACTATAAGTTAATTCACAAAAAAATAGCAAGTGAAAAACAAAAGTCACATTCTCAATGTTGTGTCCATCTAGGCTTTCAGAGTGTTTTCCAGATAAATACATTTTTACCTAATTTTGTTAATTAGCATATCATTCACCTGTTTATAACAAAGATTTTTTATTTATCAAATAGTCAAAAAATGTAAGGAAACTAAATCTAAAAACTGCTCCTCAAACAAGTGTTAACACTCTTTGATCATTAATTTCAAACATTGCATCTGAAACCACAACAAAAACATCATCTTTTGTAATTGAGTGGTGTAATAATCAGTTTGATTTTAGATTAAATTTACTCTCACAGATATATGATTTGAGATCTGTTTGACTGTCTTATGCTAATTTCATCTAAACCTGTTATATCCACACTGAATTTTGTTTAACTCGACTTTCATTTCATCTCAGCTCTTTTTCTGTTTGCATTTGCAAATGTTTAGCGTGTTTAGTCAAGTGAAAAAAGACAGCTGTCAACAGTTTGAACAACTTTTTGTTTTCTATGTCTTAACTAATAAAATAGTTTATGCTTCATCTCATTTGAATTGCTTGATTTTTTTCATTGTGTACAACATTGAATGCAGAATAGTCCATCTAATTGTCAAAATCTGTTAACCTTATATTTCATAAATCGCACTGATATTGAGCAGCCACAGATGAAACAAACTTGACAGCTCTCTGCTAAACTAAGTCAACTGGCTGTTTGTGTGATCAGATTTGTAAATTTGGAAAATAAGTTTCAGTTACTTTGTTTTCATGTGTAACTTTGCTACACTTCTGTCATGGCGGATCAGCAAATGTGTGAGGAGAGTTGTTTGTAAATAAGTTCAGTCAGTGCATTAGGCCTGAGCTCAGGCTCACAAACTCAGGCATTCTCTCAGGCTGTACCTGTACCATAAATTGGCGACTACTTCCACTAGATGGCGTAGTACTCAGCAATTTAAGTGTGAAATTGGTAGCAGTGGTTGTGCTAATACAAGGCTTTTACAGACTACAATGAATTTATCATGTGCTTGCTGTAAGTTTGTGTTACTGGGGTTTTTTAGTGGCTGTCACTGGTAATTCATATTGGAGCTGCATTAACTGAAACAGTTAACTAAAAAAAACTCCCTCTGTGAGTGTCTCACAGGATCAGAGAGATGTGCTTTAAACTCACTGTTTAACCTTAACACAATGTGTTCAAAATCCGTTTGAGCTTGCACAGCTCTGGCTCATCATACAGCTGCAACAGTACAAATGGCCGGCTGGAAAATACTCAAATATGGTTCCAGTAAAAATGTCAAAGTACTTGCTTTGTTACATCACATTGTGAAATGTGAATAAGCAGTTAAACTGTGTACAAATCTCAGGAGCAGCCTGCACAGCACAGGCTGGACCCTTAAATATGCTTTAGGCAGCTCACTGGAAGGTCGGTGATTCCTCTGTGACCTTCTCATCTTGACCCTTTGAAACTTCTGCCCTGATCCCAAACATCCACAGACTAAAACCTGTGCACATTTTGCTTCTTTTACAGGAACACAGTACTGACACATTAATATATAATGTAAACAGACTGACCACAAAAAGGAGGAAAATTAAGGGAAATGAGAGAATTAAAAGGGAAAACGAACACGAGACCAGCATAAGGATGATATAGTATGAGCTGATCATGTTTACTTAATTAGTTGTTTCCTTACTTTTTCCACACTAAGCAGCAGAAAGATCTGAGATTTTCTGAGTTCTCTGTATATTTATGCATTTGCACACACATGCACGTGTGCACATTCACACACAGACAACTTCAACCCTCAAATACAGTATAAGGTTACATAGTTAATATGTGTTAAATTACATGTTAACACCTACAACCAAAATGGTTTTATTAATCTTTCTATGTTTCTATTTTTTTTTTTTTGCTTTCTGTATTTTTGCTGCTTCGTTGTCGATACCTTGTTAATACCTTTATACCTATTTCACACCTCCTACATCACCACTATTGCATAAGAAAAAGATGCTCACACAATGGTATAGAAATGGGAATTTAAAAAGCACACACACAAAGGTTGAAAGGCCATTCAAGGTTCTAGCTTTAAAATGACCATTTAAAATTTTTTGTAAACATGATTTTTATACTGGTTTAATATATTTTATATTTTAGGGAGGCAGACCCATTCATTAGTATTAGCAAACTCATCTCTTTGTCAACCCATCACTATTTCATACAAGCATGTAACAAGTGAGGCATTTTAAATGCTTCATTAGAGGAAAGCACAAGTTAATACAGAGAAAAGTGTTTTCTGTAAATTTATCCCCAGATAAACCTGAGTAACATAATAAGATATTGTATTTGTGGTTAATCAAGCAGCAGGTCAGAGTCCTCAGTCCTACACAGCCTTGTGACCTACATGACTCAGTCTCTTTCTAATCTCCACATCCTGTGGATGTCAAATGATGCAGGTCAGCAGAAGAAGTTCTCGGCCAGCTTCCTCATTCTTTTATTGTCAGTGGCCTTAAGGGGACGTGTAGGAACTGAATGAGATCGCTCTTCATCTTCAGGTTGCTCCTCTGTGATGGTGGCCCCTTTCAGCTTATCTTTATCAAGGTTTGGATGGAAGAACGTATAATAAATAACTTTAAATAACAGACCAAGGACGTAAACTGCAACAACACAGGCAGCCGTGGTTAAAGGGTGTGTCACAAAATCAGGAGGATCTGTGCTCATCTTCCAGCACCACAAACCACAGAGGATGCAAATATCAATAAGGATATACGCGTGATAGAGCACGGACCTGATCCTCATCCCCTTGGCCACACTAAACCAGTTAAAATACCAAATGAGGCCAGAGAGCGAGGGGCAGAGTCAGAACAAACGCTGATTCTTTGTTAGAAGATCCAAGTAATTTACGAGTTCAAAAAGCAACCCCAAATATTTTCAAACATTTTTTGTCATTCAGTATTTTATTATTTCGACTGTATGATGATTGTTTTCACAGAAACAGCGATCATTTGGCACTTAACATTTTCACATCAACCAATTATAGCAGGTTAGTATATTTATTTCTCTTCTATTCACATCTCAGTGTGAGCTCCAGCAAAGATGCTTTTAATTGTCTGCTGCAATTTCACTTTCCAAAATTTGATGACAAGATTTCACACAAAAATTGAAGCAATTTTGAATTTGATGGCAGCAACACGTCTCATGGAGGCAAAAGAAGGCTGGACGAGTAAGTGAACAGTGTAGATGATGTGTTCCTCATCATCTACACTGAAAAAAAGGGATTGGCCAGCTCTTGGATTTACATAAGCAGCTTGCATGTATTTAACACAAGTGACTCATGCTTTAAAGTTAAGTGTAACCATATAGTGTAGAAACGACATGATATGCAGAGAGGCTAGATTAAATTGTTCATATCATGTTCGAGTGAAGTAAGTCAATGATATAGCTAATATGTTAACTCCCGCAACTCTGCACAGGATTTCAGTTCACGCTTTGGATCGTGGTTTGAGGAAGGCATCCATCTCAGTCAAGTCGAGCAGCCGACTCTATTTTTTTTTTGGTATACCGAAAAAAGTAAATTGGGTGATTGTTACATTAAAAAAGTCTAACTTGTAATTTGAAGAAAATAATTTCATGTTTCTATGGTGAAAGTAATTAAATCATGTAGGATCTGCATGAAATTCAGCAACTTAATTTGTTCCTGGTGAGATGACCTGTTACAATCTAGTAAGAGTGGTTAGTTTCTGGACTCGTGAAATTAACAAGATCACACAAGTTTTCAAAAACTGCAGGAAAACCACTGGAGTTATAAGAGGCAGACAGCTACACACACACCACGTGTATGCCATCGCTTTGTGGTTCAAATCCACAATCCACTGGGTGTTCTGGTTTCCTCCCACACTTAAAAAACACAATTACAGTTAGGTTAATTGGTGATTCCAAATTGCTCCTGAATGTGAGTGTAAATGTTTGTTTGTCTCTATGCGATAGACTGGTGAGCTGTCCAGGGTGTACCCTGCCTCTTAACCTATCACTTTGGGGTTATGCCCCAGCCCCCCCCCCCGAACCCGGATAAGGATTGGATAGTTGTGTAAGTCCATTTAATTTTTATGTAAACCGGACTCTGAACTTTGTTGAACATTATGTGATATGAAGTGACCAAGTAGTATTGGGGTAAAAGTTATTGAATAGTTCCAGATCACAAGGCTCAACTTACTTCATCTAAACATGTTTCATCATGTTTTATCAACACAAAATGAGCAGGCTTATTGAATATGAATAAGTTGTGTTGATTTAATTAAGTTGTTTAAGTTTCTGCCAAAGTAAACAATTGTGTGCAACCAATGTGCACTATTGAATTACATGCAACATACTCATTTTTTTCAAGGCATTCTTTTTCTCCTGGATTACCCTTTTGTGTTACACAGTTCACTGTTTTTCCTTTTGCTACCCAGCCTGACCTGTCTCCTCAAGGTGATATTTGTGTATTGCATGTACGGTCGGCAAGGTCTGTCATCTCGGTTGTGGGCAACTGCAACTGACAAATAAAGGCATCATCTCATCTCTCACCAAATGGTGGCTGCCTATTGAACCACCTGTTGAATTGGCAGTTTGCAGATCTGGAAAGGCACCATCAATGCTGAAAGTTTTTAGAACAACACATGCTCCCATACAGACCTTTATGTAGAGAGAGCCTTAGAAACAAACTGAACAACACAGCAAGACAAGGCTGAACTGCATACTCCGTGTATTATAAAGGCTTCACGATAGAGTCTGGGTGACCTGGTCTGCCTGCAATCACAATCTCTCACCAACTGAAAACATTTGAAGCATCATGAAACAAAAAATACGACTCAGAACTGCTGATCAGCTAGAATCCTACATCAGGCAAGAATGGGGCAGTGTGTTTATTAATTTGCAGATCATTGGAATTTGTTTTTATTTACAATTTATACAGCGTCCCAACCCTTTTGGAATTCAAGTTATAAATAGATGAGAAAACTTTGAATGTGGTTTTATTCGTAATTCTACTTTCAATGAAAAGCTACACCTGAGTGATCCTAGAGAGCAAGCTGCGGGGTGCTCACTGAAAACATCTCAATGAAGTGCAAAATGCGGAGATCCTGTCTCAGAAACTTGGCCACACTCTCAGCGTCAGCGTCCTTTCCATATAAGCTTTGCACAGACTTCCCCATGATTCCTGCATACCTGAGAACCAGAAGAACCAGTTACATCAAATCCTCCCCCCAGACAGGCTGAACTGAAAATATCTCAAAGCAGAAAAGGAGCAACAAACGTCCGAATAAAACAGGGTTTACCCAATTATAATAAAGAAAAGAAAGATCCACAGAACATAAGCAGTAAACAAGTAAGTCAGCAATTGATGTCAGTAGCTTATATACTGAAAAGAAAATGGATGCATGACTCATGGGTGTACAAACAGAAACCTTCTAAATAAACAAGTTCATTTGATTTTATTTCCTATAAATCAAATATTTCAAGATGAGGAAATGTAAGGATGGTGCCTGGTAGGGATGGGTATTGATACGATTTTCACGATTCCGATTCCATTTTTGATTCTGTTTAACGATTCGATTCTTTATCGATTCTCTTATCGATTCTCTTATCGATTCTCTTATTTTTTTTTTTTTAAACAGTAAGGTCGATTAGCTTAGAACTTTGTTTTATATCTTCTCTTTGAACAAGATAGAAATTTAGGAGTAACATGGCCTTACAAACCCAACAGTGAGATCTTAAGACAGCGGTCCCTCAACTTTTTTGCGCCACGGACCGGTTTATGCCCGACAATATTTTCATGGACCGGCCTTTAAGGTGTCGCGGATAAATACAACAAAATAAAACTAGTACCGGTACCGAAAAAAGAAGATTTATTCATAACACACGTGAAAAGACCAGGAAAACCGAGTTAATGATAAAAACGATAACAAAATAACGCTGAAAACCGATAAAAACCCTGAAAACCATACATTTCACACCTGAGCCTCAACTCTCGCGGCCCGGTACCAAACGACTCACGGACCGGTACCGGTCCGAGGCCCGGGGGTTGGGGACCGCTGTCTTAAGAGATCCAGCCTACGGCTCTTCAATGGGGTGTCACAGGGTCCCTGGGGAAAAAAATTGTAAATGTAAAATAATAAAATAAATATTCTTCTGTAGCAATAACAAAGTATAACATAAATTATTCTGTAGCAATACACAAGAATATCCAGTAATGTCCCTGCCTACAATTAAACACATTCACTTACCGAAAATCGAGGGCATCTGCTGTGGCAAATAGCTGCAAGCCTTTTACCACAAACTTAGTCACTGCTCGGTGACATTCATCTATCCCGGTGTTGTGCCAAAAAGTGATTGTCTGCCAAAAAGTGATTTCCAATGTTTCTGTGTATTTTTATGTGTAATATCTTTACGTATGTTCGTAAATAGACTTCGGTGAACAGGGTTTACAAAGGGGTTATATAGAGAATTAAAAAATTATCCGTTTTTCAAGTATCTTTACAACTCTGTGTTATTGTACTTACATTATAACCAATCCGGTCCTTTATCCCCACTTAAAATATTTTTACAGAACTACCCTAACCCTAACCCCCTAACCCATAAGGAATGCATTTGACATATATTTCACATATTATAGCCCAACAAGTTACTTATAGCAGTTTAAATACGAGCAATCAGTTTTTGGTAAATACCGGAAATCAGTTTTTGGCAGACAATCACTTTTTGGCTCAACACCGGCCTGAAAGGAGACACTACCGGTAGACTGCAGTGAGAACTGCCAGCAAGCGCCAGCCAGACTCTGTCTGTCCCTCTCATCATGGTCACCTAACTGCAGCGCACAGTAATGGCAGGTTTTGTAATAAGGCAGATCGCGCTAACATAATATGCACTGTTAGTTGATTATTTACCTGCCGCATTAACGGGAGAGGACGTGCAAACGTTACCGCTGCTGCTGGGTTGAGATTCACGAGTCCGAAGCGGAATTAAAAACACGACATTGATTTAAGGTTATCGCGTGTTTTGTGAGCAAATGCTTTTGCATATTCGTAGTGTTTCCTCCCTTAAATGAAATATCTACTTTGCAAGTATTGCAAGTTGCCCTGTTGTCATCCGTTCTCGTAAAGTATGACCAAACTTTTTAGTGTTTGAGCCGCTATGTTTCCTGCCAGGTAAATGACGCTCCGCAACGTGGTGACGTCATTCGGGGCGACTGGAATCGATAATGGAATCGTTTGCAAAAATGGCAAACAATTCCAAGGAATTGAAACAGTGGGAACCGGTTCTCAACAAGAACCGGTTTTTGATACCCATCCCTAGTGCCTGGGGCACTATGAACACACATATATCATCATGAAACAACCCGAAGAAGATCCCCAGCTGGAAAACATGCAGCAGCTTGAGCTGGCACTGGCTCGGCTTCTTCTCAATCTTTGTCTTCATTTTGAAATCATCGTAGCGGTACCAGAGCCAGCTGTACACCTGAACCAACATGGACGAGCCCAAGAGAAATAGCAGCAGGAGGCTGAAGTACACATAGGCCTCCTGCTTGTAGAGGGACACAGCAGCCCATATATCCACCCCTATATCAAGCAGGAACAGCAACAAGTCCACACAGGTGAAGAGAAAGTCCTGAGTGCAGCATTTAAACTCATCCTCAGAGCCCGGCATGCTGCCTCGATGCCTGTGCTGTTCTCCTCTGTCTTGTGGTGGACAAACAATTTTTTTTTACTGGCACACATAATTTGTGGGGCATCTTATTGGGACACCTGATTGTTCTCTTATTTTAGTTTTAGTAATATTTTTAAATGGCTGTACCAAAATAAACTGTATAGAAAAAAGCTGTATATGTTTACAAAATGTGTGTATAAGTTTTCAAAATGTACAATTTATATTTGCATTTCAAGTTATAAAAATAATTTACTCAACATGTCTGTGTTTTTTTTTTTACAGTAAAAATAAAACCACTACTAGGATTTTAAGTTCTTTGTGTGATTTCAGATCAGTAATAGTAATGCAGTATGTTAGTAAAAAAACAACTAAATTCAGACAAGTGAGGCTGAGCTGAAAAGAATGATACCAAACACGGGCAAGGGAAAAAAAATTAATTGAAACAATTTGAGTGTGAAATACAAATGTAAACTCAAAAGGAGTCAAAAATGGCTGGTTGTATTTCGGACCTCACAGGGTTAATCCAACAAATCATGAAAATTTAGGTTTAAATTTGTGTTCGTGACAGTGCAGATTTCTGACACTTTGTGTAATTTAAGCATGTAACAATTTGATTTTTTTCTAACAAAAAAAGTGTGAAACTTAAGTTAGACTTGTGATTGTAAATGAACCGCCCCATGTTGTGTAGCTTTCTGGATTTTATACTTATTGGGCTACATATTTATTTATTATACAGGCTATACAGTACATAAAATCAAAACTCACATGTTTTATGCAACTAAAGTGTTTAAGTATGTGGGCTACAGACAATAATTGAGTTATAGACAATATTTATAAAAACGTGTATACTTACTGCATTTGAATCATTTTAACCACCTGCATATGTGTTTGAAAAAAAAGTCTTGATTTTGCCACCCCATTTGATTTTTTTGCCACCCTCTTACCACCCTAAGAAAAATTCTCTAGATCCGCCCCTGAAACTGAGGCCCTCTGACTGGACAGATGAATGTGATGCAGCTCTGTCTAATCTGAAAGAGAAACTGTTGAACTGTGTAGTCCTTTGTTACGACCCGGCTCTGCTAGGCGGCAGCGGACGTAACATAAACGAGCCCAGAGACCAAGGAGTTAGATAGGAAGACAAACATAAGGTTTATTAACACAACTGAAATCCGTTAGTGAAACAACACACTAGGCAGCAGAGTAACTTTAAACAAACACCACGATTAATAACACCAGTAGAGCACTGTTCTACTAAACGTCTCGCAGGAGGCAACACAAAACAAAGGCAAAAGGCAAAAGGGAGGGACTCTCTGTACAGTCTGTTCAAATCAACAAGTCCCTCGACGAATGAAGACTCCTCAGCCTTTTATACTATCAGGTAACTGCAGTCAGCTGTGTCATAGTCCTAACTGCAGACAGCTGTGTCACTTGTCCGTCGTACTCCAGGCTCCTGCAGCAGCCAATGGTGTGCGCAGTCTGACAGGCTCGGATCCGCATGAAGTTTGGGGCGGGCATATGTCCGGGCCAGCCAATCCCCCGTGAGTCCTGGAGCACCGTGAATTCCATGGAGGAAGGCGGGACCACCTGAGGCCAGCGGCCGTAACATCCTTACCCAGGCAGCCTTTTCTTTGCCTTTGATATTGTCCATCGATGCTTCATTAGATGGGCTCGGTGCTGCATTGCCACAAATATCAGCTAGACAACAGAAAGCTCGTCCAATTACTTTTGCCAGTACCAGCTACCTGGTACCAAGAACATTGTAGCTGATGCTCTCAGCAGAGACCCCTTTGCAACAACAGTCAGCCATAGGCTGATCACAGAGCAGTATAATCGCCTTCTTGCTGAATCTGAGAGTGTCAGCTCTAATGGCATACAAAACACATTCAGTTTAAAGGTCCAGGGTCAACATGAGGACACATCACCTTTCTGTATCGTGGGACTGCAGCCGCTCCCGCCTCAGCCTGGTTGTGATGCTATGGATGCTGGATAGCCATGCAGAACTAGAAAATGCATTTCCTATCAAAATTACAAAGTTAATGCTGAAAATGTGAACAATTTGCCTGAAATGCTTACAAATATTTGAAATATTCAAAAGTGGAACTTGCTGAATGAGCTAAATTTCATACGATTACCAAAATACCAACCAGCTTAAAAGTAAAAAGCAAGAGCACCAAAAAATGAAAATGTACTAAATAAAGCGAAAAAGTACCTAAACTTAAGTTTCTTTGGTTAAATGTTCTTTTTCGAAATAAAACAAAAAACAAAACTTGGATCTGAAGCTGATCAAAATGAAGAAGAAGTACACAAATCAATTCTGGTCAGAAAAAGACCTGAAATAAGTTCAGTTTAACCCTAAAATTCTAAGCAAGCAGTTTCTGATTTGTGGCAGTTTGTAAACATCCCTCTGACACCAGCACACACAGATGTTCACTTACACAGGTGGGTTGTGTTTGGTTATTACCTGACACTGTTTAGAAATACACACACATTAATACACACCTACATGTCCCAGTCTGACACTGTTTACAAACACACCTACACACACACACACACACACACACACACACACACACACACACACAGTGACACAGTGGATGTGAGATATACACCTCTGTGTTTCTATGTCAATCAATCAGCCTGAATCATCACAGTGGAAATCGTTACCCAGAAACAAATGGTTGCCACTCATAAACTATCGGTCCCACTGAGAAACCTTTGAAACTATGAGCACAAAGAAATGTTACTGCTGCAGCATTTGCATGAATAAATCTGATGAATAATAAGCAGTGTCCTATTGAATAGACTTACTTGGGATTATGATGTCACCAGTGTAATAATGGAACTGTTGTTTACAAACTGTTGTCTGAGCTGATAATGGAACAGATACAAATAGATGTTGCTTTTGGGTTTGAAAGTTAAACTGTGGGTCTTAGAAACTCATCTAAACTGTGAGCTGCTGTGTTGTAAAATACGCAGACAAACATATTACTCCCTGTATCACTTTTTGACCAGTGCAGTCTTACAGTGAGTGCACCTTTAAAGGATGCGTGTATCCACTTTGTGCCATTCAGTGGCCCAACCCTGTCTCTTTTTTCTAAGTCACATGGTTTCTGGGAAATCATGGGGTGCAGCCATTACTCTCTGACTATTCTCTATGATGTCATTCATTTGAAGTGTTTATTCATGCATTCAAAGCTCCATATATCTCTCATATCAATCCTGATTTGTTGAAAGCAGCCGATGAGGGGGAGACAGCATTGGATGTCACTGATTTCTCTCTATATATAAAGAACAGGGTCTGGTAGGATTTATAAGACAGCAGCATCTACAAAAACCAGACAGTGTCACTGTCTGCTGTGTGGCAGGCAGGAGGAAGGACCCAAATGGAGGACTCGAACACAGAAACATAACTTAAAACGACAGCTTTATTGGTGGGAAAAATACTCCATTAAATGAACTCATCAAAAAAGAGAAGAGGAGTTTATTGAGAATTCCACATCAAGGATGATTATTAATACATTTTTAATAATGACTGTCACATTCCTTTGACTTTTTTTCCATTTGTACTTTATTAATTTTAATGGATTTTCAACATGATGTAATTTTTGTTATCTAATTCTTTGACTATAATTAAATATAACTGTTTAATTTAATTTAACTGTAACCTTGGAGTGGATTCAGATGAAATTATGCAGGCATGTAAATTAGGTGAGCAAAAAAAACAATCCATTGAGATTTCGATGCCAACTATCAGGGATTATTTTTAATGAATTTTTGATATGCTGTTATCATGTTGCATTGAGCTTGTTGAATTTGACCAGAAACGTCCTTTCATCATGCAGTGGGTTGAGATAAAACTGGGCATCCCAGAAGAGGAATGAATTGAAAACATTGTGTCAACTATCAAGGATGATTTCTTTCTTTTTTTTTGTTGTTTTTTTATGTTGAGCCCCTCTTGTTTGGAGTGATGGACAGGGTGACAGATGAGGTCAGGCGGGAATCTCTGTGGACTACGATATTTGCAGGCAACAACGATCTGTGGTCAGGGTAGGGAGCAGGTGGAAGAGAGCCTGGAGAGGTGGAGAAATGAAGACAGAATACCTGTGTGAATGAGAGGGAGACAGGTGAAGCAGTGAAGCTGTGAGGTGCCGAGGTAATGAAGGTGGTGATGTTTGAGTAAGCACTTTGTGACAAGGAAAGGAAAAGCTCTCCTTTAACAGGAAGAAATCTCCAGAAGAACCAGGGTCAGGGAGGGCAGGGCTGCTGCAGTATTTCTTTCAGTTTCACCTGCTGTAGCTCCTGGAATACAAACACTTTTGGTAGCTGATTTCTCTATAGACTCTATAAGAATAGAGTCTCCAGTAACAAGAGTTTTTCCCTTGCTTTTTGTGTCACAGAGTAGGTAAAATTGAAAGTGAAAGGTTGGTGGCATATGCAGGGAGTGCAGAATTATTAGGTAAATGAGTATTTTGTCCACACCATCCTCT